CCGGCGGCCGAGGACACCCTCAACACGCTGCTGGCGCCCATCATCATCTCCTGCACCGCGCTGCTGGACCGCCTGGGCGACACCTACACCTGCTTCACGGCCGAGGGCGGGCGCCACCTCTACGTGCTGCAGACGGTAACGGCGCGGTGCCAGGACGGGGGGCTGCGGCACGGGGAGCCCCCCCCCGCGGCTCCCAGCCTGACCCCAGTGCTTCCCTAACCGCCCGGTGCAGTTCGGCGACTGCCTGTACGTCGCGGTGAGCGGGGACGGCGCGGAGGGCGAGGACGACCTGCGCAGGACGCTGTATGTGCTGCGGCACCTGGTTGAGGCGCACTTCGGGCTGGTCACCCTCGACTCCAACCTGCTGCGCAAGGAGTGAGTGCGGCGCCGGCGCCGGGCTCGGGGACACGGGGGCCGTTCCTGGGCCTGCCGCTGTCCTCGTCCTGTAGACCCGCAGGGTCACGTCCAAACCAGCCCGGATGAGCCCCGTGTCCAACACAGCCCCCAGCATCGCCCCCGGGATACAGGGGCCGGTGGCTGCCAACGTCCTGCTGCTGCCCGTGGGGTCATGGGCGCTGTAGAGAGCCCAGGCCCAGGCCATGCCCCTGCTGCAGAGGAAGGGAAAACCTCCCAGTGCAAACCAGTCTGAGCAGGGGGAAATCCCTTTCTGCCCCAGTGCAGCATCAACCCCCCTGTGGGGGGGGTCTGTCCCCAAGGGTCGAGGGCAGCCACAAGTGACATGGGCTGGTGCGGGTCTCCCATGCCTTTGGCTACAGAAACGGTTGTGCCAGCTCAGCAGGCCAGAGGCTGGGGCTGGATCACTGACTGGAGCTGCGGCAGGATCAGCCCTTCTCGCCCCAGTCCTGTAACCGTCCAGCCCAGAGGACCCGGGGCCTGTTCCTCCTCTCCCGGCGGGCAGCGGGTGCCCCAGGGCCGCGGGGGTGGGAGCACCAGCCCACGGCTCCGGCTCACTGTGCTGCTGCGCTCGCAGGCTGCGGCCGGCGGACTCGGAGCAGCGCAGCCGCGTGTGGGCCCTGCTGCGGGGCCTGCTCCAGACCTACATGCGCCTGCGGGACGAGGACCAGAGCTTCGCCGCAGAGGTGCGTGCTGGGGCGCGGGGCTGGGCACGGCACAGAGCAGCCTGCAGAGCTCAGCATGCCCCGTGGGCTGCGTGGGGGCCGGGGCCGCAGGGTGTGACACCGTGTCCCGCAGGCGGTGGAGCGGCTGATCCACCCGCAGCTGTGCGAGCAGTGCATCGAGGTCCTGGAGCGCCAGGTGGTGCAGCACATCAACAGCAGCGCGGAGCGTGGCGGCACCGAAGTGGCCCACGCCTTTCTGCTGGTGCACACCAAGCTGCTGGCCTTCTACTCCAGGTGAGCCTGGCCCGGCACGGCATGGCCTGCTCCGGGTCCCTGCACACGGCTCTGACACGCGTGGTCTCCCCGCAGCCGCAACGCCAGCTCCATCCGCCCGGCTGACCTGCTGGCCCTCATCCTCGTCGTGCAGGACCGGTTCCCCAGCCGCAGCGGGGAGGAGGAGCCCGCCTCCCAGGTACCACCCCTGGGCCCAGCCGGGGGGGCAGATGTCTGCCCTCGGCCCCCTCTGAGCTGCTCTCGTGCTCTTTTTGCAGCCTGCAGCAGGAGGCCTGACTCCCCCGAGGCCGAAGAGCAGCGAGAGCATCCCTGTGGAGAGCCTTGGAGCCACCGGGACAAAGGCAGGGGAGCAGGTGCGTGCAGCGCCCCCGGCTCTGGAGCCCAGGGTGTGGGGGGGATCCTGCCGTAGCTCCTGCAACCCCGGGGGTGCCGGGATGGTGCCCTGGGGCACCGGGTCCCGCTCAGGCAGCCTCCCCTTTGCAGGAGGGCAACGGCGACGACCTCTCCGCAGCCGAGGAGTTCTACACGCCCCAGCCCTCGCCTGGCAGCCGCAGCTCAGGTCAGGCCTGAGCAGCAGCGCGGGCTGGGGGAGCCCTGGGTTCGGGGCTCGGAGCCGAGTGTCCGCGAGTAGCGGAGCCCACCCTGTGTTGCCCCTTCCCCCAGGGCCTGGTGGCGCTGGCCTGGCTGCAGCTGCTGCCCCTTTGCTCTGTCGCCTGCAGGAAGCGAGAGCTGGTCGGAGAGCATCGAGCTGCCGAGCTCGGCGGAGGCGGATGCTGCGGACATCCAGGTGAGTTTGGCTCCTGCTACGTTGAGGCCCCGCACGCTGCCTTGGGACATGTCGGGGGCCTGCTCCCACCCCACCGTCAGCCCCCCAGCAGCTCTCCAGGTTCCCCTTTCTGGCCTCCCCTTCCCCAGAGCTCCTTCCACCCCTTCAGGACGGTCCTTGGACTCCCCCTGCCCCAGTCTTCAGCCACCTTACACCCCATGGGCACAGCCTGCTCCTGCAAATATCCCTGCAGCTGGAGAGCAGTGGGCGCAGTCACCGAAATCGCAGACTCCCAGAGCCGTGGGGCTGGCAAGCAGCTGTGGGGTCGCATCTAGTCCAGCCCCGGCCTGAGGCGGGATCAGCCCCGTCCACGTGTAACCTCAGAGCCACACGACCGTCGCCTCTGCCCCCAGGGGAGCAGGGGGGCCGCAGCTGCCAACGTCCTGCTGCTGCCAAGGGGGTCGTGGGTGCTGCAGAGCCCAGGCCCAGGCCGTGCCCCCGCTGCAGAGATGGGCAAAACCTCCCAGTGCGACCAGTCTGAGCAGGGGGGAAATCCTTTCCTGCGCCAGTGCAGCGTGGGGCTGAGCCCAAGCGCGGGGGTGAGACCCTCCCGCCGGGACCCTGCAGGGTCGGTGCCAGCAGGAGCATTGGCACGGCCCAGCCCCATCCCGGGCTGCAGCACCAGTGCCTCAGGGGAGGGTTAAACCCCCCGACACGTGGAGCCCCAGGCAGGGGAAGGGGCAGCCAACAGAGGTTGAGGCCGTGTCCTGCGGCTGCTTCAGGGCCCAGGTTGCAGCTGCCCATCGAACCAGCTGTGCGTGGGTCTGTCCCCAAGGGTCAAGGGCAGCCGAACGTGACGTGGGCTGGGGGGTCTCCTGTATACGCAGCTCTCACCCAGGCCCTTTTCTCCCCCTGCAGATGGCAGAGGACTCGCTCCAGGCCCTGGCACCCCCCATGCCCGACGCCTCCAACCCCCGGAGGATCTTCCTGGACACCAACCTGCGGGAGGGCTACTGCCCCATGCTGCCCCACACCATGCATTGCCTGCTGCTCTGGCCTGGCATCTGCCTCGTGCTGCTGGCCAAGGTGAGTCGTCGCCAGGGCCGGGTCCGGGTACACGCCGGCACACGCTGAGTCCCCTCTGTCCCCCGCAGGGCCCCAGCACGCCCGTCGCCCTGACCCTGTCCCAGCTGCTGGATGGGCTCCTGGTGCTGGAGAAGAATCTGCGGGAGGGCCCGGGCACGGTGCCCAGCCCCCGGTCCCCCCTGCTCCTGGGCGAGCTGCGGCATCGCATGGACAAGTTCGTGAAGAAGCTGGGTGGGCCGGGCACCCAGGTGAGGGGCCAGGGCAGGAGGGACATCGGAGCTGCCCTGTGCTGGGTCAGACCCGGGTCCCTCTCGCCCAGTCCCTGGTGTCACGGGGGCAGAGCAGCGCCTGGACGGGCGTGACTAGGGCCGTGCAGGGTTTCCCTGCTCCTCTCCCCTGCAGCCTCCAGCACTTCAGGGCTGGGACCTTCTGGTTCATTCCCACACTCGATAGCAACTGATGCCCCTTTGTGTCCACGCCCCCCGTGAATCCGGCTGAGCTCTCAGCTCCCCCCATCCCTGGGGGCCACGAGCCCCACGTTTTCATGCCACGCTAGGGGAAGACGAGCAGCCTGGTGTTCGTTGTAAACTGCCAGCCTGCCCGTTCCACGTAGCGCCTGGGTGGTGGGCACGAGGGGCGAGGACTGCCTGGGGTGGGAGGCTGGGGGCAGGAGCCCGGCACCGCAGAGCAGAGGACGTGAACCAGTGGCTTGAAGGGGCAGCAAAAGTGAGTTTAGTTTGGAAATCCAGACAAACTTCTTTGCCGTCAGAGCAGGGAAGCCGTGGGAGAGACGCCAGGGAAGGGGGCACTTTTTGTCATGGAGGTGTCAGGAGAGGCTGGACAGGTGCGGGGTGGGGTGATCCAGGTGCAGCAATGCCTGTGCTCTGCTGTGGGGTGTCCCGGGTCCCTGGGCTGTGCTGTTTGCCCCCCTCTTTCTGCTCCGGGGGGGGTGTGTGTGTGTGTGTGTGTTGGGGGGGCGGTGTTAAGCCTCCCCCGAGGCGCTGGTCGTGCTGCAGCCCAGGCTGGGGATGGGGCTGGGGCTGGGCTGCGCCAGCGCTCCTGCTGGCACGAACCACGCAGGGTCCTGGCGGGAGGGTTTTGCCCCTCTGCTGACCAACACTATATTTGGGGTCCGATGGGTGTGGGTTGGCAGGGTTTGCCTCCCCCCATAGCAGGGGGCATGGCCGTCTACTGGGACAGGCCTGAGTGTACGTTGGCATTTCATAGAAGCCGGACACTGGTGGCCACGGTCCCGCTGTGGCAGGTCCAGGTGTGATGCCAGTTGTCAGGGCCGACAGTAGTTTTACAAAGAGTTTAGATGCTGGGTTTGTCCGGGCTGATTTGGACAGGGCTGATCCTGCCCCAGGTAGGACAGGGCTGGGCTGGATGTGACCCCGCAGCTCCCTGCCCGCTCCGCGGCGCTGGACTCTGACCTGCTTGTGCGCCCGTCTGTCCCCTCTAGCTGCAGAGCGCCTGGCTGGAGTTCAAGAGTAAGGCCTTCTCTCGCCACGAGCCCGC